GCATGCGCTTGTAGAAAGTCCCTCCCCATCTTTCCTGTGGGCCCCTTTAGGTACTGAGATTGTTAATGGTCAGCCAGAGATCACCCAGTGCAGTGGAGCTTTGTATATGATGAGCCAGCTTGTGGTCAGCCCAAGTGCTCTGACCTTCATTCAGTGCAGGCACTGATTTCACCTGTCCATTCTCAAGAGCAGCGAGACATGAGTTCATGGGCTCCCCCGAGCTCACCACAGACATCTGGGATATGATGGAGCAGTCAGACGATGTTGTCACTTGTTTCTATTTGCTTGCACAAGGTTACCAAGCTAATATTTGAGGATTGGAAACACAAACAGAAGATCCAAATTTGCCTCCACTCCGTGGCCTCCTGTAGTATCAAGACCTGGACTGCAGTTTGAGAGGAAACAAGTTAACAAATAGAGTAAAAGAAAAAAAATTGTGTCAGTCTTTGCAGATCATCCTCAATAACCCTACTTCTGTGATTTGCTTGCTCTGTTATATACACTAGAACATATCATATATCTAGGAATGCCCCAGGCCCTTGAAGTCTCTCTTCATGTCATTCTCAGCAAATCCTCCAAATATTTTTCCCTTTGATTTAATTACTCACTTCCCCCTTTGCCTGGAATGTGAGTGATGAGAAATGAACTATGGACTCATTAATGTGCTACGACAGGGAGGACATTTTTGATTTTATTTTTTTGCTTATCAATTGGGGTCACTCCCTTAATTATTACCTTCCATTTAAATCCTCCAAATGTTTTCCTTCTTGTTGGTTTTCTGAGCTAATATTGGTAGACATTTGAAACTTGATTTTCTTAAATTGAATAGTAACCATTTACTGCTCATGCTTCCATGCTCAGAGGAAGCTGTTCCGTACCCTCTGTACAGTCCAGCACGGAGTGTTTCCTGTGACTGACTCCTTTTCATTCGAAACAGTTTCAAAATGTTACCCAAATGTGCAGCAAGTTAGCCTCACAAAAGGAAAAGGTATCTTTAGGAACTGCTGCTAAAATCAGTAGAATGCTGGAATAGATAATAGTGGTATCTGGTCCTTAGCTCTCTTTTGGAAAGCATTACCCAGCAACAAAGGAAATGGAGCCAACATAACCATTTAAAATAGCAAAGTAAACAGTTCATGTCGTAGTCAAGATAATCCTTAATTTCTGCTGCTTATCTGAGATCTGCCCTGCTGATCTGATGGGAGGATTTAACCTTCCTGAAAGCTGTTATCAGTGTATGTGCTTGAACTGGGGAGACCTCCTTCCACCTGCTTTTCAGAGCCCTTTCTCCTAGGAGATTAACACTGCTATGCCCTTTTTAGAAAGGAAAACCTTTGAAATATGGATTATTTTTAGAGGGATGTACTAGGAGTATTTTGCTACAGTACAGCTTAAGGGAAATACAAAAAAATAAAAAAAGTAATGCCTATTTAAAAGATCTTTTTTTCTTTACAGAAGAACCTTGTCTTAAATTCTCATAATTTTTGTCTTGCAAAAGAACACGTATGATTGTGGAAATTAAAAAAAGGATAATTGGCTTATGGTTGGTTGTATAACCAAAAGCAATTGGGAATTTCAATTTCAAATTTCTTTGAGCTACATTGGAAACCATTTTGTAATTTCCTCTTTCTCTTGGGATACTGTGTGAAACGCAGAATGGCAGAGCAGATGGTGTGTCTTCTCTTTCCAAAGAGACAAGTAACATCACTCTGTTCGAGGGGGAAATCTAAAGGGTGTTTCACTGGGATATGGGAAAGCCCAGTCTAACATCTGGATCAAAACAAAAATCAGTGTTGGTTTAACAGGTTTAACGTGTAGTACTTTTCACAAGCATGGCTCTATTTCTGATGCTATTTTTACTATGTTTCTTATGGCTTATTTTAAAACAAAACAATCTGTTTTTGGATTAAGACTCTCTGGTATACCTGTGCCATTGGGAGGAGGGGAGAGAATCACTGGGTGAAGTGTCTCAGGCTTAGTCATAGTAGGAGTAAGGAGTGATGGCCTGAATTATGCAGCAAAAGTTCTCAGAATAGGCAATGAGTCACTATTGCCCTTGAACTTTGTGGATCTGAAACTATATTTATCATTTCACATTGTTCCCAAGCTGTGTATTTGCAGTCCCCCACACAGAGCAACTTGCATTTTCTGCCCTCAAGAGCTAAAACACACACAAGGGAATTTCCAGGGAGGAAAGCTGAGGACTAATTTCATGAAGTGAGTTTTAAGGAAAGCTTTATTGAAGAATACTTGCATCGGGATACAATTGATGGGAAGGTAATACTAAAAGATTATATAAAAGAATAAGGCAATAGCATACAAAGCAAAAAAAAAAAAGGAAGTGGGTAAAATTAAAGAGTTCCTGTAGGATCAAGAATGTGTAGCACGGGGTACTCTTACGAGAGGAAAACATTTTTATGAATGTACTAGCTTTTTCTTTTCCTTCCCACCTCCTTATCTGCAATGTTTTGAACACGAACTGGAGCACACTGAAAGGAAAGATCCAGATAATTACATTTTGCATTCTTCCACTTCTTCCCCCACTACAGTACGAGAGATGAATTAAATGAATTTTGTACCAGGTCGTGGCTGAACAGCTGGCTAAACACCAAAAAAAAACCACCTTGGCACTAAAATTCAGCAGGGAATCTTACAGTGTCTGCTGAACTGTGTGTTCAATTAGTGACCTGGAATTAGCACATCCTGGAAGCACACTCGCTGTCGCTGCTCTTACAGCAGCAGCCTCTGTAAAGAGAATGGGAAAGATGCTCGAGAGACTTGTATCTTTAGAGTATTTTGCATAACAGAATTTTAACAATGAGAAATATTATTATTATTGGGTGGAAGGATAAAAGAGGCAGTATTGGCTTGCCAAAAAAGACTTAGCAAATGGAAATCCAAAATTAGTTCCAGGAAATATAATAGGTAACGTAATAAGTATGTGAGAACTGTAGGTACTTTGCATTTTTGTATGTGAAGTAAGTGCAGCACAAGATTACACATCCCACACTGGTATTTCAAGTTTCCTTGTTCAGGGGGAAGAAAAACCATTGGTGCGTGGAGGCTCATTTTATAGGCATAGATTATCAGCTATCTTTAAATCTGCTTCCAAAATCCTTCATGGCTGTCGTGACAATATATTAGCATAGGGAACTCCTGTGCTCTGGTGTAAGTATAAGCATAAGGAAAGGCTCTTCCCCATGTCCGTTTGTGATTATCTCAGAGTGCATGGAAAATGGGTAACGAAACCCTCTCTGTTGTATGGGGGTCTTTAAGAGCAGTTTACTACACCTAGACAGCTGAAACTTTCAATCTAAGGGGTTTTGGTAAACAAAATATCGGTATTGTCAGAGTAAAATGCTTTCAATAATGTGTGCTGCAAGATCATTTTAACTCAGAACTATAACTTTACCACCCCCAGCTCTGCCAAACATAATAAACATACCAGAGAAAATAAACCTCAATGCATGGGGAAATTATTCACAAGGATATTTAGCAGTAATAGACTCACAGCTCCATAAGTATTTACATTTTTATTCAGAAAGTGAGAAGACCAGGGACAATTTAAAAACTGGTTTGCATGTTGGCATTACTGATGAAGTAGGATGACAAGAGATCTTTGCTTCTACTGTTACCCATAATGGATACAATTTACTAATATAGATTTGTACTCATCTAGGACAAATTTAGCAATTGGTTATGTGAGCAAAGAGTTTCACCAAGTAACTGCAAAATCTGTGACTTCCAAAATGCTATGTACTGGCAGCTGTGACAGAAGCTTGAATGTATATAAGGAGTGACATTTACACCTTGTGCTGAAGCCTTGCAGTTATTTTCTGCTGCTCTTCCCACTTTGGCCTTCAGTATTGCACTGCTATGGGTCATTTTCACAATCTGACTAAATGTTTGATGAACATGAAGAACGGCTGCACCCAGTTCACCTAGGCATCCAGGTGGTTGACTTCTGTCTTTTTGTGTTTGTTTGGTTAGGTTTTCTTGTTTGGTTGTTTTTTTTTTTTTTTTTTTTTTTTTTTAAATCAAACCTTCAGACATTTGACCAAGACTTAGAGCCTCCACCGTAAGTTTTGGCAATGAGCTACTTAGTTACATCTTTATTGAAAATATGTGCAAAGCCCTTAGCAGTTCTGCTCCTTGCCAGAAGCATTTTTCCCAAAGAATTTGGGAACTAGTGTTCCTGCTGAGGGTATTTCCAACAGGCTCCTGTTTCCCGAGCCGTTTCCTAGGGTGCCTGGTGGGCAGGACAGGGTGGCTGATGCAGGTCCTGCACATCCCTCTCTCTTCTCTGTGGTGACCAGTGACAGGACCGGAGGGAATGGCCTGAAGTTGTGTCAGGGGAGGTTTAGGTTGGGTATTAGAAAAAGATTCTTCCTGCAGAGGGTGGCTGGGCACTGAACAGGCACCCCAGGGAAGTGGTCACAGCCCCAAGGCTGACAGAGCTCAGGAAGCGTTTGGATGCTCTCAGGCACGTGGTGTGACTCTTGGGGATGTCCTGTGCAGGGCTAAGGGTTTGACTCGATGATCCTTGTGGGTTCTGTCCAATTCAGAATATTCTGTGATCCTGCGTGCACACCAGAGGCGCTTGCACTTTGTAATCAAAAACATACAGTTTGGAAAAAAAAAAAAAAAGGCCAATATCCATGGCAACCTGAACCCGACACCGCCGCGCCACAGCCCGCTCCCAACGCCTTTACACGTCGCACGGCGAGGAAGGGCTGCCCGAAAGCAAGGCGAGAGGAAGGGAGGAGAGGAGGGCGGAGGGCGGGCGGCGCCGCCCCGGGTCCCCCTCAGCGCGCCAGCTCCGCCCGCCGGGGGCGCTGCTGCCCCCGGCCCCGCGGGGAGCTCGCTCCGCGCGCCCGGAGGGGGGCGTGGCGGCGCCCAGAGTGGCGTCCCCGCTGGCCAATGGGGGCGCCGCCCGCCTGACAGTTGGCCGGGCGCGGCCAATGGGGCGCGGGCGGGGGCGGGCGCGGCGCGGCGCGAGAGGCGCGGCCGGGCGGCGCGGCGGCAGTCGGCGCGGTGGCGCAGGATGATGCGGCTGTGGCGCTCGGCGCTGCTGCGGGAGCTGCTGCTGCTCGGCCCGCCGGGGGCAGGCGGCGGCGGGGCCGCGGCCCCGGGGCCCGCCGTCGGCACCAGGCGCCTCCCGCCGCCGCTCGGCGCCCTCGGCGCCAGCCCGCCCGCCGCCCGCCGCGGCCCGACGGCGCTGCCGGCGGCACGGGGTCTGTGCACCCGCTCGGAGGGAGCCTTGGAGGAACCGGGGAAGGGGGCGCAGGCGCCGTCGGCGGCTCCTGGCGAGCCCCCCGCCGACAGCGGGCACAACAATAACCACGGCGGCAAGGAGGTGGCCGGAGGCGGCGAGAAGTGAGTGCGGAGGGGGCGGCGGGCGCGGGGGATGATGCGGAGGCGCCATGTGAGCGCCGCCTCCCCCGGCACGCGTGGTGCCTGCGGAAGGGGCCGGGCCGGGCCGGGCCGGGCCGGGCGGGCGCTGCCCCGGCAGGTGCGGGCCGGGGGTCCCGGCTCCACGAGGGCCTCTTCCCGGCGGCCACGGGTTACGGCGGGCGGGCTCAGGGCGGGAGGGAAGCGCAGCCCCGTGGCGGGGATGGCGTGTGCGCCTCCCGGGGCTCCTCTCACCGCTCCCCGGGGTCCCGGGCGTCCCCCTGTCCGGGGGTCCCTCCCGCCCGCGTGAGCTCGGAGCAGGCGGTGTACGCCAGGGTGTTCTTTCTAGCGCTGCTACTCGCCTAAAAATATTTCCCAGGAGAAGCCAAAGCTGTGTCATCTTGCATTAATTATTAAAGGCAGTGTACGTGGTGCGTAGTGCTGCCTCGGAAGTTTTGCAGCGCTGTTTCCTCCTCGTCTACGTCCACCTGGACGCATTCCTGTGTCATCTACTCTAGGCGACCCTGCTTTGGCAAAAGGGTTGAATTGGATGGTCTGCAGAGGTCCCTTCCAACCCTAACAATTCCGTGATTTTGTGGTCTAGTGCAGCCAGGAACAGATATTACCACCCGTTAGTGGTGAGTACAGATGTTCATAGGTGCTGCAGGATTGTGCCCGTGCCAAGAGGTCCTTGTTTGTCCCTTAGTGACAAAGGTACATGCGAGTAATAGAATGATAAGGCTGTATATGCTTATGAAGTTCATATTCTTTCACTCAGGACCGGAAACATTCTTTGAAAAAAAAAAAAAAAAGGTCAGGGATAGGTGCATCAGTTCCAGTTTTTATCCCTGCTAATGAGTGGTAGTGGATACCAGGGATAGAGTATAATGATGAGGTAAATGGATTGGCGGGGCACTCTGCTCTGTTAGTCCTCAGCATTATGCAAGTCTTGAAAGCCTTGTTCATTTTCTAGCAGTCTGACAATTTGCCCATTGCTTGTTTGAAGCCGGGTGCATTTAGTATCTCTGATAACCTTTTAAAAGAAGTTTGACAGCTTAACTGCAAGCCCCATGAGAACTCACATCCTTTGCGTGTGTTTGAAATGTGCCCCGTGGCTTTCCTGTAGGAATGCTGTATGGGGTGGCATAATTAAAATCTAACCCCAGACTGCTTTCCCAGAATTTGCTATGCTTATGAAAAAAGCAGATGACAGAAGAAATAGAGCCAAAAAAGGAGTACCTTGTTTTTACACTGAGGAAAATCTCTGTTAGTCTAATGCTAAGAGGAAGTCTGGAAAAGATTCCACGAGGCCTGTCAGGAAGGCTTCAGGCCTTAGCTTGTTAATAGTTCTGTTTCAGAGCTGTGGTTTGTGGGTTGGTTTTTTTTACCACGAACTTGCACTCCTTCAACGTGGCAGGTGGGGAAGAAGACTGTCACCTTGTTCTTCTCCCCTTTTTCCCACCAAAGGCCACAGCTACTCAGCTTGGTTTAATGCCTTCTTTAGGCATCAAATAAAATTTATGCTGTCAGGTGCCTTAAAAAATGCGTGCATGTCAGGTTATGTAACCATGTACAGTATAATGCACAATCATTTGAGTATTTTACTATTGTTCAACAAATATGAAGTCTCCTTTTTGAATTGGCTCTGTGCATAATTTTTTGGAACAAAAAATTATTCAGCTGTGGCTCAGGTAGGTGTGGTTTATAAAGGCTCCACTTCTGTTTTCAATAAGAAATACAGACAGTACTATTAAAAACTTTGGAAAAAGACCAGCGTGCCAGCTGTGGTGGGACTTTGAGGATGCTGCAAAGGTGATTTATTGAAGCAGTAACGCTTTCGTTAACTGTTAGCAGCTTCCTACAGTTAGCATCAACTAGGGAAATTCTGTAGTTTTTAATGTGTGGTAAAGCTATGTAGTCACAAACCAGTTAAACACTTTTAATCATTTTTGGCTTTTGACAAAAGGGTGTATTTGAAAGTCAGATGCTAGTTCTTTGAGCCTTACTGCAAAAAGAACAAGGAGAAATTCTCTAAAACATCTAGCATATAGTTATGAACAGGGAAAAACCTGGAAACTTTCTTTTCATTTCAGGCTGTGCAGGAATTCCTGGTGGCATATTATTAGTCAGGCTGCTGGATACTTTCATTTGCGTTTTTCTTAGTGCAGAACTATGAAAATCTTCCTTAAGCCTTAGTAAATGGTACATCACATGTGGAAATCTTTGCTTTATTTAGACAGAGCACAGGGTTCAGAAGAAAAGGGAAGTTCTTCAAAAGACAGGTTTCTGGACTGTGTTGTCAACCAGGCTAAGTCAGTCTCTGTATTCTGCTGATTCCAGCGCTTTGCCACCTGGAGTGTCTAACATGTGAGTTGTGTTAGGCAAACGGTTTGTGGACCCAACTGGAAGGGCAGTAGTCCTTTCTACATTTTGTTTTTTTGCTTGCTGGTGTTGAGGGATTATTTTTCTCTATTTGGTTTTAAGGTTTTTAGGATCCTGGAATGACCCCCAGTGTCAAAAGGCAGAACTAAGGTTTTCTTGGTTGTTTCTTTGCCTAACGGTCCTTGCATACAGAGAGTAGGAGTTGCAAGTGAACACTTAAAACGTTTTGTGCAAAGACTAAACAGAAATTTAGAACGCTTCAATTCCTCATAGAGGGAATAATTTATGAGGTCTGTGGCTGATGAAATAACTAGTATCCCATTGCATAACTAGATCCCTTTGTGCATTTTTTCCGAAACATCTCCACCACCTCCTTATCCCTGCTATCCAACCTTCACGCTGTGTATCCAACTGAAACTTAACATATTTTGGAGAGAAAAAATAATGGAGTTTAAACTGAGAGTGGTCATAGACTGGTAAATTTAGTTAATGAAAACTCTGGATTAAAATGCAGTCATATCTAGGCTTATGCCTGAGTTATTAAACACAGTAACCTGGCACAGTCCTCAGTTTGCTTCTATTTTCACTATAACTGTGCATTGTTCACTTTTACTTTTGGAATAAGTGTGCATTGTTCATCTTACACTGGACAGGAAAAGGATCAAACATTTTGTCTTGGCACAAGCTCTTTCTAAATGACAAAGGCCTTGATTAAAGTGACAGGGAGGAGCAAAATGTGAGTGACCTTAAGTTTTAAAAGCTAAATTACTGACTTTTTGCACTGAATTGCAATAGTGGTTGGTACTAGTATATGGGGTATAGCAAAAGGGTTAATAGAAGTGTTTTATTAATTTTTTTTTTTTAATGACAAGGGTGTGGTAGTGCTCTTTTTTTAGGGCAGAGGTGAATTCTGGAGATACTTTTAAAAAGAAATTTTGCCTTTGCAGCCAGACCAGATTCCAGAGGAACTACTGTAGTAACCAGGCAGTGTTTCATTTAACTGGTACTCCTCTTGGAGTATGGAATACTCAGAGATGCAAGAAACTGTTAGAAGTGCACTTTCATTAGACCTTTCGTAACTTCCGAGGAGGCCAAGGTTTTGAAGCAACAGTTCTTGGTTTTACCATAAACACTTTGGTGTCTATTAAACGTGTCTATCTTTGATCTAAGTCTGTAAATACATTGTTTTTTCTTGAATTTTGGAAAGTTCTTGGGTAAACAGTTACCCACTATCGTTACCAGATCAGTATCTCAGTATATAAGGGGACAGAAAGTAGTTATTTAGTGATTTGAAAAGTGTTTGTATCTCTTGGTTGGAGACATATGTCTGTAGTATGATGACAACTACTTCAAAGTGCCTGTTTTAGATAGAGTGGCTGCTGACTGTGGTTTGCAGCCCTTTCAGCGTTCAGAGGATGACAGAATAGTTTGGGTTGGAAGGGATTGTCAAAGGTCACCTAGTCCAGTCTCCTCTCCAATGAGCAGAGGAACATCTTCAGCTCCATCAGGCTGCTCAGAACCTCGTGCAGTGTGACCTTGAATGTGTCCAGGGATGGGGCATCTGCCACCTGTCTGGGCAACCTGTTCCAGCATTTCATTACCCTCATCGTAAAATTTCTTCCTTCTATTTAATCTAAATCTGCCCTCTTTTAGTTTAAAACCATTATGCCTTGTCCTGTCACAACGTACCCTGCTAAAAAGTCTGGCCCCATCTTTATTATAGACCCCACTTTATGTACTGAAAGGCCACAATGAGGTCCCCCAGGAGCCTTCTCTTCTCCAGGATGAACAACCCCAACTCCCTCAACCTAACCTTATAGGAGAGGTGCTCATCCTTGCTGATCATCTTGGTGGCCTTCCTCTGGACCTGCTCCAACAGGTCCATGTCCTTCCTGTGCTGGGGACCCCAAAGCTGGATGCAGCACTGCAGGTGGAGTCTCAACAAAGTGGAGAATGGGGACAGAATCCCCTCCCTTGACCTGCTGTCCCTGCTGCTTTGGATGCAGCCCAGGACACATTTGGCTTTCTGGGCTGTGAGTGCACAGGGCTGGGTCATGTCCAGCTTCTCATCCACCAGCACCCCCAGGTCCTTCTCGGCTGGGCTGGTCTCAATCCATTCATCCCCCAGCCTGTGTTGATACCTGTGTTCACCCCGACCTGGGTGCAGAACCCTGCACTTGGTCTTACTGAGCCTCGTGATGTTCATACCTGGACAAGCTTCTTGAGTTTGTGTGGGTCTCTCTGGATAGTATCCCATCCTTTAGGCTCGTTCACCCCACCACTCAGCCTGCTGTCAGCAGCAAACTTGCTGAGGGTGCACTTGATCCCACTGTCTGTGTCGCTGATGTAGATGTTAAACAGCACTGGTCTCAGAACAGACCCCTGAGGGACCATAGTTTGTGACAGTAATTCTGTTTCATATTTTTATGACCGATGCCTTATGGTTAATAATGAACCTAAAACTACTATTAGCAATATCATATCTGTGTATCATTTGTTGTTCTGTAATTCCTGGTCGGCATTTTGGCAGTTGCATCTTGAAGTAGAAAGTAGCGGTGTTTCACGGTATTTGAAATCTGATCTTGTTCCTGTTGTAGAAATTAGAATTCAGCATTTGTTGAAAATGAAATGCTCCCTGGAGTCTGGTGTTAGCATGGTACTAATGCAAAAGAAGAGCTGAAGGAATGATATGGACTGCAAAGTCCTTGTGCTTGGGAATCCTATGTTCTTTTTTTCTTTGTATTAAAAGAGCAGTGTGGACCATCCACCAGTATTGTGGTCCACAGATTAGAATATGATCAAAGAAGTCTAGTTGTATAATAGTCTGGTGCTTAATTATTTATTTTTATTAAACGAAGGGAAGTCAGTATCGAAAATCATTATTCATGAAATCAGGTAAACTGGAATTTCCACTTAATTTGACTGTGAAAATTGCAAGTTCCCTGACCTGAAAAACAGCTTTTTACCTGCGTTGAACGGAATTATCTTGCTAAGTGTGTTCATGGTGCCAAAACACACATCTTTCAGGTTAAGCAAACATTGGTTACTGGCATCACTGATCTGATAAACTGCAGAGCAAGCCTTTTCACCTCTATTTAGCTGATAAACTTTATCAAAAGATGGACTATTTGACAAAAAGGAATTTTTATGTAAATATACTGAATGTCATCCTCTTCGCTTTGGTAGTCAGTGCAGATCCATTGTTTAATTAGGCTGAGTGACCCCATATTGAAGAGCAGCAGATGTGAAAGACATGGAAACCACGTCAAGAGATTGTATGCTGTGTAAAATCTTGGTCAAATGTGTGAAGTTTTTTTTTCTGCACCTTTTCAGATAGAAATTCCATACTTGGGACAGCTGTAAAATTCTGAGTAATTGCTCAGAAATGTGCAATTAAACAGGTTATCAGTTAAAATTTCTCAGTGTGTTTGCTGGCTTATTTTGCCAGAGTGAAATAGGAAAGTTTCTTCTGCCAGACCTTCAGCAGTCCAGTGACTTTTCCTTTAAGCGTGGAATCTTGACACTTTGAGGAGCTCAGTTAAATGCCTTGTGTAAACGGTGGGGATGTCAGGGTATGGGCGATGTATGTAACTCAGACTAACTTTTAGAATGAGATACCTGCAGAGTTAAGATGCAGAACAGAGGGTGAAGCTTTAATTGGTACCTTGGGTAGTTCTGGTTCTGTTGGCTTGACTGGACATACTGTTCTCAAAAGATTGGAGGCGAAATGTGCTGCGTGGAAGGAAAAGGGGCGCTCACTGATTTGCTCAAGGTAGTTGCAAGCGTTTGTGTTGGTTGAATTGCCAGCCTGTCTGTGCATTAGTCAGCCAGCATAATTTAAAAAAAAAAAAAAAACCAGACTGTAAGACAAGGAAAGTTCTGTTGGCTTACAAAGCTGTCTTCTGTTCTTGTTGTGTATAAGTACAGTGTTTTAAATTGGAAAATGAGAGGTGATATTTTTTACTACTGGTTTTCACAGCTAGTTATGAGGGAAGGAGGGAGTCAAGGGCAATCTAGAGGTTGTTTTAAATTTAAAAGAGTATTTGGGTATAATCAGATTTTTATCAAAAATAATCATAAATCTGACTTGTATTGGGAGAGGAGAGAGGATTAAACATCAGTGTGTAAGACTGCATTGGCCTACCTGGGGTCTGTGCTTAGTTGTAGCATTTTATTTTTTCCCTTATGAGTTCTGTAATTCAAAGAATTACTAATCTTGTGAAAACTTCAATTACTAGAATTTGGACCTACACACATGCATAAATGTATAAAAATACATGAGCATTCTAGTTTCAGGCAGTAACTTTATCACAGTATGGTAACAATGTATTGTCAATATTATTCGATTGTAAAATTGACCTTTAAAATCGATGGCTAAAATAATGCAAGACTTCTACTCTGCGTTTTAGTTTATGTCTGCAGTTGCTAGAGAACTGTTTTGTTTTGATTTTATTTATTTTTGCTTATCAGACATCAGAATATTTGTTTCTCTAACCTGTGTTGTCTACAAACAAACCTGAGAGTTTCAGGGGACTAAAACGAACTGATCGGAATCCCTTTGCTGTCGCTGCCCCTGGCAGTTTGGAAGTGCACATTCCAGCTCTGTGCTAAGATGCTTTACTCATGGGGGAAGTGTAGAGTTGAGTACAAACTTTGGCTCCTGCCTGCTTCGGGGTGCTTTGGAATATCAAGGAAAGGCAGAACTTTTTATAGGTTAAATCTATAAATTCCCAAAGACTTTTAAGACAAAGCTGTCAGTATTACAGCTTTCTGTCCTAGCAGGAATAATCTCAGTGCTTAATTGGGTGGATTTCCTTCAGATTTCGTATAAAATGGAGATGTAAGGTACAAAAAACCTGCATTTGTAGGGAAAGCGTATCTCAGGGTGCAATAGCTAACACCTGGAATCCTTGGAGAGCCGGGGTGTTTGCATTGATAAGCACAGTGACCATTAAAGGTGCATCTGCACTGCACGTTTACTTTGCTAAGTACGTGTGATGAGAACCCTTTCTCCTGGTGCCTGAGCTGGTTCAGGGTGCTGTGTTGTGCTGCAGATGGCTTTGCTTGCTTTCACGGTAACTGATGGGCCTTACATAAGCTTCCAGGAGAACAAGGGCTTCGGGAATCCTCTGTGGAGTCCTAAAAACAGGACTGTTTTGAAGAAAATACTACACATTCGCCATCTCCTTCTCTTGTAAAACAATTGGGTCAGTATGCTCTTACAACTTTGTGATGAGGCTCGTAGGTCTTGGAATCTTTTATTCTGTGTAAGTAGCACGTCTGTCCTCTGTGACATCAAGAAGAGGGATAAGTGATTAATCTGCTCCCCCCAAAATTATAAATATAATCTTAGCAATAAATGTATGACAGTAAATATATGATTGTGTTCAGTTAAGAGTGTTTGCTGTTGTAAAATCGATGTACACTACTTTTATATTACCATTTTCTACTTAAGGCCAAATTAAGCTTTGTGTTCAGTGCTAGAAGTGTCCTTTGAAATCACTGGTAGCAGTTAGATTGGTAGTGAAAATGTGTCTCCCTGAGAATGTAAAAATGTGTATAAATAAAAATAGGCACTATAAACTAATTATGCTTTTTTTTTTTTCCTTTCTTTTCCAGTAAAATGAAGCAAGGTCTCCTTCCTAGCTTAGAAGATCTACTTTTCTATACTATTGCAGAAGGACAAGAAAAGATACCAGTTCATAAATTCATAACTGTAAGTTTACTGTTCCAGAGTGCTGTATGAAAGGTGACTGCTGCGGGGTTATTTTACATTTGAAATGCAAGAATGCAAAGCAAAGAATTTCTGTTATACATGTTTAGCTCTGGGAAGGAATGTAACTATTTTTTCCCTAACGCTGTAAAAGAAATAAATGTATTTTTATTATCCACTTCTTTGATGTGCAAAGGAGCATGCTTGAAAGCATTTGGGCCTATGGCAGGGTTGGATAGTGTTTGTACTTTTGTAAAATGTAGTCAGACCGCTGTGGATTTCAAATTACATTAATGCTTTGACATAAAACGCAGCCGGAATGGCCAAAGGATCAATAAGGTGTCAAAATGCCTGTGTTGATAGTGCAGTGGCAGAGGTGTCTTACAGTGATAAAAACACTGAGCAGTAGATAATGTGATTGTAATAGAATATCTTTTCCCTTTAGTAATTATTGTTTTATTGTAATAGGCACTCAAATCTACAGGATTACGTACATCTGACCCTCGATTGAAAGAGTGCATGGATATGTTAAGACTGACTCTTCAGACAACTTCAGATGGTGTTATGCTGGATAAAGACCTTTTTAAAAAGTAAATTTTCTGTCAATAATGTAATTGTATGATTCTGAATGAGTGTTGTCTATGTGTTTCTGGCTGACTGCTGTCCTGAGGAGAAACATAAGATGTATAAATCAGTGTGTAATTAGAAGTGGAGTCAAACATACACTCCTGGTGCTGTTTTCATATGAGTTTGTTCTCAGGTTTCATGCAGCAGACAAGGCTGTGTGATCTCCACAAGAGTTTTTATGTGTCAGTGTGTGCACATGTGTCTGACCCCATACTGCAGCTCTCAGTCTGGTGCCAAATAAATTAATTGATGCAGCATGGACTTTGTAGTATGATTACATAAAACTACTCTCAGGGCATCACCAGTTTTTAATCTGAAGTTCAGGATGCTGCTTCTGTGTGGTGAGATGTTCAGAGTATATATATAGTTAATTCTAAAAGTGAGTATGTGAAAAACAGAGTGAAGTGAAATTTCTATAAGATATGGAGAGATGAGAAGAGTTAAGACTGCAGACATTCCTCTGACCTGTTTTGCAAGAGGTTTGTGTGCCATATTTTAGTGATGCTCTAAATTTATTTTTTTTTAAAGCAAAGTCTGTGGTCAGTTAGATGAACAGTATAAGCACTGTTCAGGTTGTCTTCTGTTCATTCCAAGCACACTCCTTTGCTCCTCTACTTACAGCTTTTGCGTGCCAAAAGATTGGAATTTTGGAGGCTCTTAAATCTCAAAATGAGGGTTTTAGACTATTTTTCAGTCTGTATTTTTATTCCATTAACATGGTAAATCATAAAATATCTGACACATGCTTTTTTCATGAAGGGTATACTTTTGTAAAATGGGTACATTTTTTTTGATCTGTAGCATTTTTTTGAATTTGTGAATTAATGTTTAGTACTGTTTCTTCTCAGTTACAATTTAAAAATATGTATGTGTTTAAAAGTATATTTACATATACCATTTTGTATATTTTATATACGTGCAAGTATATAAAATATATAATAGAGCGTAAGTATGTACTGTATATATTTTAATATATGTTAAATGTGTAATATTTTTACATAGTTTATATAAATGAAACATAAAGTATATGTGTTACATATATTAAAATATATACACATTTTTGACATATATTGAGAAAAAGTCTGTGTGTGTGACAAAATAACAAACCAGTCAACTCCTTAATCAGATACGGAATTATTTCCTTAAGGTACAACATGAACTAACTTTATTCCTGTACTAAGTTCAAGACTAGGTCTTTGCTGGTTACTTGTCAACTCAGTAAAAACGCTGAATTGTTAGGTTCAGAAACCTTCCTGGGTGTGTGGATGGATTAGAAAGGAAATACTTCTGCTCTTACATATTACATGCATACTAGAGCGCTTGTTTGTCATAGTAAACTATGAATTATGTTTTAGGCAAGGGCTCTACATTTGAAAAAGGGCAAGCAATTGCTAGTGGGCAGGATTAGTTCATATTCTGTGTCACATCTCTGGGATTTGATTGTGTTAGGAGAGTACTTAATTTAATAATTTGTAGAAAGCTTACATAGTTGCTTGTGTAGGAAGAGCTTTGAACTTAAAGACAATACAGAGAGTGGAGAGGTGGATCTTATTTCACATAGCAGGTTTCCCTTTGCAGCAGCAGAAGGTTCCTTTGCAACCTTTTTTGTAAACGATAAAAACCCACTCTTCAGTTATCTGTTCCTCCTAGGCACACTGCATTTGCTGTGAAAAGGCTCATACAGGATCCCTGTATTCTTTCTTCTACAAATGTTTAAGGTGTGAAATATAATAATTTATCTCCTTGGCTGTACTTACCTCAGGACTGATGTGAAGCATCAGTTCCCTTAACATAAAAGTCAGTGGTGTAATTGTCCTCTTGAATGTGAATCCGAAGCTGCTCGATCAAATAAAATATCAAGGTTAAGTGATATGGAGCAGTGGCAGCATAAGCTTACCTGAATAAATCAAGTACAGTAGAAATTATGTGTAAAATATATTAGTTCATGCATCTGTAGTGTCTGCTTCTCTGTGCCTTTGTAGTGGTTCTAAATACTGGGCTCCAATTTTACTAAATTGCATTCTTTTGAAGTTTTTTGGCTTTACAGTGGTCTCCACTTACAGTAAAAATTTGGAAAAAATCTCCCTGTTATGGGCAGAACAGCTTGTGGTTTTAATCTTTGATCTCCAGAATTTCTTGAAGACTTCTGGGGTGCACGTTTCGGAGAGAGGGTTTGATAAATTTCTTGAATGTATGAAATTTCTTGACTTTCGTGTTGCATCTGTGTAACACAACTTGTGGTCTTTGTAGCATGAGTGGCACCTCAGTGAGAACAGCCTGTTACTGAAAGCAGTGCAGTGTGCTAGTTAGCTTGCTATGTAAATATTTAAATTTTCCTTTTCATTTTTTTTGATACCTTAGGTATAGTACTGCTTAATATACTAGTCGTAGTGCTGTCTACTGTTAGATGAAACTTAGGCAACTTAACAAATACGGAAGATTTTCTATGTGCTAGTCTTCCTCATAAAGTGTCCTCATTTTGACATACCCTTTTTTGGTCAGTGGAGGGGAAGGAAAGGCACAAGGCAGTCAAAATTGAGTTAATTTGAAAGTGGTGCCCACTTGAACAAGACGATAGCTACTGAGTAACAGGTATAACTCAGAACTTTAAACCCTGTTCTTTTTCAGAATAGCTTACTTGGCTTTGTAGGGTTAGCCTTTGCCACAAGATGCTGTCTGTCCTGCTTTTATTGACCCAGAACTGAGGTCTTGCCAGCCGCATCTCCTCTGGTGTGTGGGTAAGCAGCAGTCTGGGTGTGTTAGGGACTGAGCACAAACCTGACAATTTGTTGCTGGGTCTCAAACAGGGTTTTCTAATTGCTGCTGAGCAGCTGTGCTGTTCTCTCAGTATAGGTAGCAAATCCTGATGAAGGCTTTAATTTTAGATAACGTTAACCCAGGTATTAATAAATGTTTTTGTCTTATTTGAGCAATTAGATTTGAACAATCTTTTGACAGGAGATGTAGAGGACTTCCACTATGTTAGAATGTTAATATCTGATTTGTCAACATGGTGTCTTTTTTTTTTTATTATTCTAAAATGTCTAAATATGCTGAACACTTCTACAGCCCTAGTCTTGCTAGTTGGACATGGGGTTTCACATGCCTTTCTGTAATGCTTGTGGTTTTTAAACAAGAAAAAAGGTGTTGCTTCGTCTGTACAGACAGCCAAAGAGTTCTTTGGAAGTGGTAGTTCAGACTGCATTTTTAGCAGGTCTGCGTTGTGTAGGGAAGCAGTAATCAGCAGTCTGAGCCAGAACTTGAAAAATAATGGATAAACATAACAAGTTGTATGATAAAGGAAACAAAGTGATCCTAATTTTATGATAAGAGACCAAAGATGGTGTTTCTAAAAAACCCTGACCTGTAGGAGTTAGGAACCCCTCTACTATGAAGCAGGAAGTTTTTAGTGTACCTATCTTGAACACCGATAAAGCCATGTGGGAGATAAGAGCCAAGTTGTTGGTAAAATTTGACCGTAGAAAGATTTCTATTTATCAGTTTATTCATTTAGTTGAATTTCTCCCTGTGATCTTTTCCTACTGCTCCGCTTGGAGTCTGAGGCCAGTCATTCCCTGAGGATCACCTGGAACATAAAGCAGTTGGATACTCTGGTGGGGAGGAGATGGCAGTTGCAGAATTTTAGATACTATCATGACTCATTTCCTCTGTTGACTGAAAGTATTATGCCCTGTTAAAAGGGGTGATACTTAGACCCCTGTTATTTTATCCATGCATTAATTGCTCTGATTACCCCTCTAGATTGCTCGAGCCCCTGTATTTAATTTAGCCTGTAATTCATGTGATTTGCCTGGGTTAAGGAGTACCAGGATAAATACTCAGAGTCCAGGAACAACTGGTAACAATAGGTCATGTCCTTAACCAGCATAGCCATTTCTGCAGTGACTTTCAATCTGTTGATTAAAATGATTGAACTATTGCATAGAGCATCATAGACGTGGTGTAACTTGTAAGTGTATAAATCCCCTCCCTGTTTCAGAAGCATAATATGATTTCAGAGGACTGTATGTCAGTGCATCCTGCCTTCTTGTTGTTTTGGACACTTTGTGTTGAGTTGTTCTAATAGGCTTAGGTGAACTTCAGATACTACTTTTTTTCTTTCATATAAGAGTGCATCGTGTTGTCCAGGTAGTACAGACAGTGTAGCAGTGCATCTGAAGTTGAAATCTAGTGCATATTATGTTGTTACTCCTTCTGCACACTTAGCTGCCATCAGCGTTATTAATTACTTTTGAGATGGGATTTTGCACCTTGAGTAGGTGACTGTAATTGGAGGTTGCTGGGAGCAAAAACAAACAGGATTTTTTGCAGACTGCAACAAAGCCAACTCAGTTGCAATTTTAACATAAACTAACAAATTACAGACAGCAGTTTTTTAAGGTGACAGCGTGTACAACAGAAACTTCTCTATCATTTTGCTTTTGGAGAGTAGTACCTACCAGGATTTGAAATGGCTGTCAGTTGAATTTGGGATAAAGTCGTCCAAGTACAAAGGAGGTAAAACTAAAGGTTTAAAAAAAAGGAGGGGGGACTCAAAGGGAGGATAATTCTGTCTCTTCACTGGTCTTTATGAGCCATTTTGAACTGATGATAACTTTCAATAATAGGAATACTGGAATATCTATTCCAAGTGAAAATATTTCCCGAAGAATTTTTCCTTAATCTTTTTGCTTTTCTGAGTAAGTCTTTATTGGAGGGACATGTTCTCCTTTGTAGCATGTGCCTAGATGTTTTTAACTTCCCGTTTTCCTGCATTAATAGTATGTTTCTGCTTTTGCCCACACTGCCCGAAGGCACGGTATGAAGGTGTTAACTGTTTGTTTGGTTTAAGCCTCCCTTTCTCTTCTTTGCACTGGGATAGGGCTGTTAATACCCTTTTATCAGGTCATGTTTCAACTGAGTGATAATGGCTCCCAATTCCCACCCCTGCTCCTGCTCACCCCCCCTCACCCACGGACGCGCCACTTTCAGCAGGTCTCAGCTTGCGTTCTCATCCTTCCCTTCTTCTGTTTGTCCTAGATAAGCCCTTTCCCTTTTACCTTATCACTTTTTTAGGTGTCCCAGATGGGCCGATGTTCAGAGGGTGTGGACAGACAGCGTGACTGTGTTCTGGGTTAAAAGGCTAAAAGGCAGCAAAGATTCCTTAACTGCAAGCAAGATACTTGCAGAACTGCTCACTGTTAACTTTTGCTTAGTTTAGGAGATGTTATCGAGTCTCTCCACAGGGTTTTTGTTCTTATTTAAGTGGAACCGCATTCCAGTTTCGGTTTTTGGCAGTGTTTTCGCTCAGTTCATGGTGAAACAGTGAAGTTAAGAAACCAATCCTGAACCTCAGAAGTTCGATCTAACTCTGAAATTAGCACTTCTTTGGACAAGGGCTGGATTAGATACCCTTCACAAGGCTTGATCTTAAGAAACTAATCTAATCTTAGATCCCTTTTGCAAGCTGAGGTGCTGCTTGAAGGCAGATACAGTACCTTGCAGTACAGCCTCACAGCTGAAACTTCAAAAGAGAGCTTTAATTAGAAAGGAATAAAAGTGAATTCAATGAAATGATTGGAAATAATTTAAAAAATATACAGCTTAGAGCAGGAAATTTGAAAAGTCTTTCTAATAAGGACATGTTCTTCTAGGCATGTAACTTCAAGGGACTGAGGGTCCTTATTTAAATAACATGTAATTGCTACCTAAGTAGGCTTTTTGGCAGTACGTTGTCAAAATACTAATAAACTTTTTTACTGTTTTGCAGGTGTGTACAAAGTAATATTGTGTTGCTTACTCAAGCTTTCAGGAGGAAGTTTGTCATTCCGGATTTTATGTCGTTTACTTCCCATATTGATGAGCTATATGAAAGTGCTAAAAAACAATCTGGAGGAAAGGTAACTTGTTTGTAAATTCAACTTTAAACTTCCCTGATATTAACCAAATACATTATTTTTTTAGGTAGACAGATTTTTCTTAACATTTTTAGAAAAATGTTAAATTGATAACTCCATAGAAGAGCTTTGGAAGTTCATTTATGTCTACAACTTGTAAACTGGGTCAGAAATACAGCTCACCACCTCTACCAATCTTGCAGAGTTTTGCCATTAGAATATGAGAATGGTTTTGTTCCTTATTTTACATAAACTCTAAAACTGCTGTATAATTTGTCAGACTATACTTTGCAGAAGAATTATCTAACTCTGCACAACTGGCTGGATTGTGACAGAAGTAATTGTCAACATAGTACCTTTGTTAGTAAATGAAGTTTATTCTAGTGCTTATTTTCAGTAAATTAGTTGAAAAATCCACGACTGATACAAGCAAAAATTTTATGTGATTTGAAAATTATGCAGTAAAACAGACCACAAATACCTCTTAGAATGTGCTGAAATTTTTACTTTGAAAAAAATTTTTATTTGACAATGATCTTGTGAATATAATAATTTGTAATGAAGCTTTAGATATGCCAGGTGATTATTAGTGGGATAACTCATTTGTGCCTTGTGTATCCTTTCCACTGACATTTATTTTAATTAACATATCGTTAAATACCCTGTGTTGTCTCTCTCTTTATTTACACTAATAGGTTGCTGATTATATTCCACAACTGGCCAAATTCAGCCCTGATTTGTGGGGTGTGTCACTTTGCACCGTCGATGGACAGAGGTATATTGTAATGTCTAGATTTTGTTGCTGGAATGTTTGAAGGACAGGACAGACACAGTACTTCTGTACTGTTAATATATATTAATTTGGCAGTCAAAGCTTTGTCTAATGGTACTTGTGCATCAAGCTGTATTACTTTTTGGGCAGGTCACGATGTACTTAAGAGTTAGTTCCTTCTCTGCATTTTAATGTTTTTACTGTAGCATTATTATATAATCTGTATGTGTCTCCGAAAAAAATGCAGATTCACGCTCTTAAATAGAAAAATAAAAGTGGAAACTGGACAGAACTAAATATGATTTTGCTTTTCAGGTTTATTAAGCTTCCTCCTATGAGGATGTGTTGTCAGTCTTCGATGTAGTCAGTGACCTTACTTTTATATTTTTCCTTATTAGTAATTCAGTGTAGCAGAGACAGTTAGGAGCCTAGATGTGAATATCTCACACTATCTAGCAGAGAAGTAATGTGAGCTGTGTCTGCCTTTTTGTGTAGACAATGAGATGCTTATCAGCTCATCAGGTGTCTCTGCTGGTCTGCAGTTTGTGTGGTCTTACTGCATGGTCTGAGAATCATAATTTTTAGGTGTTGAGTTTGTGAATGGGGCATTCCTGAGAGAGCATCAGGCTTGCTTATGGTGACTGTGGCTTGGAGTTCATTTTAATGTGATCTGTGTGTTTGTTTCTAATTAGCCATATGCTCTGTAATCTCTAGGGTAGGATCTGTACAAGTGAGCTGAAGTATTTTATTTATCTCCCTGTTTAAGTGTCTGAATTGTAATCTATTCATAGTAAAACAACTTTAAAAATAGAAATGTTCATCCCTTTGAATATTTTAAATTGGCATTTTGCTTTGTTTTGGATATCGTGTACTAATGAAAGTTTTTATAATGTTTATTTTTGTTATGTTTGATGTTGCGTAATGTTAGCCTTTACAATGTGAGTTTTTCTGAAGCCTTCTCGCGTTTTCTGCAAAGAAAAGAAGCAAATAAACTTCTGAGTTTGCCGTTAGACAAGGGATTGCTTGAAGCCTTTTGCTCTAGATGTGGCATATGCTGCTTGCATGAGTCATGCTTTGGTGCAGTCTGACAGATGCTGAAAGTAAACTTTCCCAAAGATAGCATTTAGTAATTGTTACAAAATACCTATGCCGTTATCGAAGGGGATTATAATTATATTATACAGCTATTTCATTATTGTCCCGGAATTCCAAAATCAAATTGTATCTCATCTTTGTTTTTATAGACATAAATATGTATAGTGGCTATATTTGGGTCAGCTGTACCCCCTTGAGTATGTGGTTTGCAATTGCATGGGGTAAGTGTGGTACTAGAGGTGTGAGGTGACTTTTTGCCCTGGTACAGACCCGCTTCTGAATTTGCTCTTTTTTTTGTTACATCTGCAGTAATCATTAGCAACTGGCTTTGTTATGCTTGGCTTATGGAGTCAGTTGTTAAAATCTTTAAACCTCTTTGTTATGTTCTTTAAAATGAGACTTGGTAATAATATTATTTGGGGTCCACGTATGTTGAAGAGTAGATGTAGCATTTAATACTCTACTGCCACAGCTGACAAACAGGAGATTTCAAGCTTCATCTGTGTTTTTTTTTTCCCAGGCATTCTGTTGGCGATACCAAAGTTCCGTTTTGTCTTCAGTCCTGCGTAAAGCCTTTGAAATACGCTATTGCTGTTAATGATCTTGGCACAGAGTACGTGCACAGATACGTTGGGAAAGAGCCTAGTGGACTAAGATTCAACAAATTGTTCCTGAATGAAGATGGTAAGAGATATACAACGCCTAAATAATGCAAATCAGCAAGGTAGACTTAGTCTTTGTCAGTCCTTTTGCCTAATTTAAAATGCTATTAAAAGGTGCTTTATTGCCTCTGTGCTCTTTACTAGTTGTTGAGTTGTAGGAAAATCCAAAGGACTTTGACAATGCAGGTATTTGAGATCTGTATTTATTTGGTTGAGTTGGTAGCGTGTGCTCCTTAATCATACCTTCTGTAAAATGGTGGTGAAAGAAGCAAAGATGTTCAAATGATTTTAAGAAACATGCATATCACTTCCCTTCTCAGCCTTCTGAGAAGCAGGTGCTGGTGCCAAAGGCCAGTGCTGACTAGTTTCCAGAAGGCAAAATCGAACACATCTTCCCACAGATTATTCTAAGTGGAATTTGGCTACTGATTCAAAACAATGTTTTTATTTTACTTTTTTTCCCCTGTGGCAGGAATGCTTTTGCAAGAATTTCTCCTACAGTACTTTATCTAGATTATTTATTTTTAATATTGTATTAATTCTCAAGTAGGGATATGTTATTTAAAAAACCCCAAAACATTATGGCAAAAATCTGAGAAGGATGACTCATTTAGCCTTAGAGGAAATACTGGATGTTATCTCTGAAACACAAATGTTTCTTCTAGCAGATCTGTCTCAGTAAGAGAGCAGACAATGTTTCTGTTGCCATGGTATTGCAATTAATATTTAATTAACAGCATAGGGCTTGGATGATATTTTTGTCAAGGACTGTATTGAATTCTGACAAATATCTATATTATTACTATATTAATGATACAGTATTATATTTAATATATTTACACATATATGCAAATAATTTTTATATAACATTTATTTACTTTCTATATAGATTAAACCCATCTTTACATACTTAAAATATATCTTGACAACTTATTTCTTTGTTTTTATTATACTGGTAAATGGTGATGAAATACCAACATGTAAATATATTGCCAGGAAGAAATTAAACATTTTGTCAAAGCTGTGCTCCTTTGTTTTTGCTTTTCTTGTTTTTCCAAATATACTATTGTAACGGTGTGAAGAAGACTTGTCTTTCATATCCCACAACAGGTTTACTGTAAAAAAAACTCTTGGTGGTGCTGAAAAGTGCCCATTTAGTCCTTTGGACTGACACAGATATTCTGGGTTTTTTTCTCTTTTTAATAAAATGACAGAAAGTATAATAAATATTGTCTTTTTAGTGCTACTTTTGAAATTGAACTTATGGGAGAAGATGAATTGGTGGGCTGTAGTCTTTTATACTACTGTTATTCTTTAAGAATGTTTATAAAACTTATACATAAGAGAATTTGGATTATTGAAGTTTTGACTAGTGAACATGAAATTGAGAAAGAAAATTAATTCACATGATAGAAAACTGTATTTTCCTCTGTGGCTGATAGACACAAGCAAGAAGTGTTATAACAGACCTGAAGGGCCTCTTACACAGTCCTTAAGTGAAAGACTGAAATGGAAGGTAGAAGTCTAATAAACAGAAACATTTCAGTTGTAGTGAGAAGGGAGGCTGAGTTTCTGCAGTTGAAGGATGAGGAGAGAAGAAGGGATTACACTTTTTTTGTAGATTTAAAGTGATGTATGAAGTTTGGCTATGCAGAGTATTTGTCAGTTTGAACATGCATAAAGACTTTAAAGACCAGAAAATTGAAAAAAAAAAAGCATAGATATTTAATCTATTTGTTTTCTAATTATTCAGGTGTAGTTGAATTTCATGTCTGTAGTCAGGATATTACGAAGTGATACACAGATATTTGAAGACTGGTTGGACATGCATCTGAAGCAGTTATTTTTTATATTTACTACGTTGAAGATTCCTGAAACAGGATGTTCTTCCATTTCATTGTTTTCATTGCTATCAAGATTTAAGTTAGAAAGAATGGAGAATATCATAAGACAATTGTACATTATAGCTAAAAATGCCAACCCATAACAAAAAACTTATTATTATGTTTTGAGTATGATCTGTGCTGTGCAATGGAAATTTGGAAACTTCTGCAGCCTTGTGAATATCCCTTTATCAAAGGGAATACATGGCCCCTCCAGCAGTTCAGATTACTGGAGATGTAAAGTGATTTCTTTGTTAATTTAAAAAAGATTATTGTAGTTGACTGAAGTAGATCAGGAATTTTACATAGTAAAATATGTCTGAAACAGGCATTATCAGGAATAATTTTCCTGTCTGTGTTCACTGAGCAGTTTACAGATGTTTTTTTCATGCCTGTTGAGTTCATGATGCAACATGTCTGACAATACCTGTGTATATATGAACAGTTAGT